TGTACCATAATCGTCTGCTCGTCCATTCTAACATTTGCTGCCATGTTAGATCATATATTTGTCAGTCCGTTGGCCCTTGTGCTTGAGCCCTGGACGAACTCGGGTGGATCATAGGAGGGACTTCTACTGGAGGGGTGACTGGCCCCCTCCTCCTTGAGTCGCTGGTCAATGACCATTCCGGCTCGAGTCCAGGGGTCTGACCTGTTGTCATGGTCAGGTGGAAAACCGATGACCTGGTATCGGGAGAATATCCCATATCCTGCATCCCAGTCATCGTTCCAGTCCCATACACCCCTGCAGTATCTGTAGTACTCATCCCAGATCTCCAGGGCATCTTCACATCTCCAGACCCAGGGCCATAAGTTTCGGAGTGGGAGAAAGCCATAGTATCCATCGGGTAAGAACCCTCCTTCTGGGGCAAGGAGGGGCTTGAGCTCGACGGAGGGTTCTGCTCCCTCATACTCGTCGACGGCCAAGTTCCTGAGACATCGGCAGATGGAACAGTTGCAGTAGGGGTACAGATGGGGGGTCTGGTCAAGCTCCCTCGGGACATGGTTCGGGAGGATGATAGGGTCCAGAAAGGGTTGGTCTCTGGCAAACCAGTCGAGGATTCTGTCTTCCTCAGGGGTGTCTCCTGGAAAGATAACTCACTGTCCCTGACTAAACGGGGATCCTGGGTTGGTGTAGTACTCTGGGAGCTCTTCATTATTACTGTCGGAGTACTCGGTGAATATGATGTTCTCGGCTCGTCCGAGTATGATGTCATCAGGTCCATCTTCGACAGCGTCATTAGTGGAAGTTTCTGAGATGTGGGCAAATCGTGGCTCGGCAAAATCTCTGAGATCGGTGATGTGGATAATTGTTTGGGGTAAGACTTCGGACGGATAGCTCCTTGGAGTCATTGTCGTCGCCCCATGTTGTGTCATCCCAAGATCCATCCGTGTTGGTCCAGTACTCGGTGGTAAATCTGGGGTCGACTCAGTCGTCTCCATCATCTGGAGGGATGCCGAGTTGTCTGAGCTCTTCTTTCCGAAGGGATTCTTCGCCTTCACCGTCTTGGTGATCCTTTCCCTGAAGCTTGAGCGTGGGGGGTTGCTCTTCTCTGTCGGGTAAGGGGTGTCGAAGTGCGTCTCGCTCCCTCCTTGGCCATGGTGTGAGGGACCGGAGCCGGACGGTGCTTGTTGTTCGTGAGGTTCCTGTTGATGAGCCATTGAGTCCATGTATTCTCCCTCTTCCAGGGGTCGGTGCTCTTTGGCAGCGGGTTGGTCAGAGGATATGAAGAACTGCAACTGCAGTTACTAGTGTCAAGATACTGAAGGTACTTCCGAAGATAATGGCGGTGCGGTCTGCAGGGGTGAGCAGCATAAAGTTCGTTGTACCACAACGAATGTTTATGATCTCGGGGGACGGTGGGTGCCGTTTTCGAATAATGGGCTGAAAGTTTCTTTTTTCTTTGGAAGTATAACAGTGACTGCCTTGAAGCGGTACAGTTACCGTTGACAGCGGTAAGGGTAGTAAGGGCAAGCTTCAGCTAATTGTTAAGCACTAACTCGAACCTTTGCCAAGGCTGGTCTCTATCCTGTCACTCGCGTTCAGTGATTCAGTGTTAGAGAGGCGTTTGGTAGATTGCGAGAAGTTAGGCATCACTTATAGCGAAAGCAAGGAGCTTGTAAGAGTTAGGAGTATATAATCTTAGCCAAAGCTGAGGTCTAAGGCCACAGCATAGGCTAGCTTAAATACATGTTAGACTCGTACTAAGAATAGTGTCTACAAGGGCACGTGCAGTGAGAAGTGCGTCGTTTAACGAATGAGGAGTGAGGACACTAAAAGAAGTGTACTCCCGACGAATGAGAGTAAAGAGCGCATATCACCTGCACCTGCGTGGGACTCCATCTGAATGGGCTACATCCCGCAGACCGCCCTCGACTAGCGGTCAACTCTCGTCCAACTACTAAGAAGCATGATGCCATGAAGAGAAGCATGATGGCGCATGCAGGTCGCTGGTCATCTGAGAGGCGGCAGCATGAACTGAGGTGACGGCAGCTGGGTAACCAGGTAAAGAGTGTGCTGGCAGAATATCATGGGTCCAGGAGATAAGATAGGTAGGTCCGGGGTTCCGAGAGATAAGGATAAGATAAGATAAAGAAAATAGAGGTAAAACTGTAATAGAGGAGAAGAAAGAGAAAGAGGAGTCTAAGGCTGCTGCCATGAAGAAACTGATTGAAAGAAGAAGGGATTTCAAGGGTAAGGATAGAGCAATGGATTCGGCACCTGTGGAGACTTCAAGAAGTGAAAGTTGAAGTCAAATGAGGTTGTGGTGACAAGTGAGGATGAGAATGTAGTGGGGCTATCACAGAAGCCCATGAAGAAATTGAAGACAGAGTCTGAGATGCAGGCCAATGATCAATAATATAAGAACAATAGTACATATTCTTATGGGTTCTGAATATTTTGCTGACTTGTAGTTGTATAAAGTATTGTGGACATTGTAAATTTAATGATGTCAAATGTTTTATTAGGAGTGGTTGTACTTGCAAGTGCTGCAAGTTAAAGAAAATAAAGTTTATATTCAATCAAGGTGATGGATTGGAGACTGCAGGATCCAGTGAGATCCTGGACCTCTTGCAGAAGATTTATGACAAGATGAAGAAGTTTCAGGAAGGGTTGGAGTGAGTAAAGGGAAAAGTGGATTTTTTTAGTGGCTGCATTGATGACTTGATCAATAATTTCCATCCTAATGACAAGCTGAAGTACTCACAGGACTTTTTCACCAAGGAGTGTAAGCATGAGATTCAATCCTCAAAAATCGAGCTGGAAAAGCTCAAGAATGTTAATATGGAGGCCTTTTGGAAGGCTGTACAAATGTAACTTAACAAAAATGTTATATAAGTATAGTATGCACATGTCACAGAGCTAGAAACTTTTGACAGTAGCGACCTCTTTGAGCTGGCTAATGTGCATTTCTGACATGGATATTACAGTGAGGACAAGCTCCAAAAGGCCTTGGAGGCACACAATAAATTCTTGGACATAAGGAGGCAGTACTATGAGCATGGAGGCTGACAGGGGGAATAGGCATTGTGGATGCAGTACCTGCAGCATACAGGTGGATTTTTAGTGGAGGATTCTGAAGGGAAATTCAATGAGATAGAGGAGAAACAGCCAGAGATGTTGCCAGAACATATTCCACCAGAATTTCAGTCTTGAATGAGTCAGAGCTGATCATGATGCCAGTTGAAGGAGAGGAACAGCAAGGTGAGGAGAAGGATAATTTGGATGAGGATGTGGTAATGAATGAGTTGATGCCTGCAGACTCCTAAGCACCTTTTGGACTTGTATTATTATTATTTCTTTTGGATGTGTTGTACATGGTTTTGACAGCATGGGTCTCAATGAGCATAAATATATATATATATCTTGACTTGTATACTTGAGTGAATAAGAGAGGAAAGGAAGAGGAGTCAAAAAATAGATGTCTATTAGGTTCTGTTCCTAATTAGAAAGGTATTTTGCAATAGTTTTTCAGAATTTGATTTGAAATTTGAGGGTCAGAAACTGTAGGACACTGATAATTAAGAATAGTTTAAGAAGTGGGGGGTGAGAGTTTTAGAGAGACTTTGTGAATGATGACTTTGGATAGCAGTTCTGGTTTGTCTGGGTAACAACAGTGGAAATCTTCAATATATTCATCCATGGAAATTTCTGTAGTAGGGATCCAGGCAAACTCTTCATAAGTACCTTCATAACCCAACCATTGGACTCAGTATAGGAGTGAACAATGGAACTGATGATCAAGTTTAGAGTTGAAAATTTGTGCAATCTTGTACTGTTTTTCTTATCAGCTTCTCTTTGTGTTATGTTACTCTCATCTGGCTGCTGTGGACAACCATACCTGCAATCCATCTTGACTTGCCCTGCATTTTCTTTACTGTTTTCCCACTTGTAGCAGGCAGTCTGATATATCAATCATTGTCAATTGACTGTATAATACACATGCCAATAGAACATAATCTCAAGCAACTCCAACAAACCACATTTCAGAATCTTACAGATCCCTATTCTCAGTTCCTATCTCATATTCCATTTTATATTTCATCTCTTCATTTTAATTTATCAAATATCTGACATCAGTAGTGAAGTATGTCATTGGACTCCATAAGCTACCAACTGGTAGACTACAACTACCAACCATCCTAGAATGTAGACCACTCCAAGTAGAAACTAGATCAGACTCCTAACTAGTATATAAACCTTAGAATTACACTGTAGATACTCAGTTCAAATATTAACTTGGTTCAGCCCAATCTCTCTCTCTGACTCTAAGTCTGAACTCTCACTCTCCAGTCTGCAGAACTCCAATCTGTTGGACTTATCTCTTACCTTGTCTCTGTCACTTCATGGGCTTCCATCCATATTCATCTTAGGGCTTCGGCTCAAGGGTGATGTTGCTAATAGCTTTGCCTATGCCCAATGCATTCTGTGGCTTTCCACTATGTGCAATCTCTGCCGCATTCCTATTGGCATGATCCTAACAGTATATTCAAACTCAAACTCTTGAGTCAAAATTTTCTTCCAAAATCATGTCTTTTACTTTCTGTTAGCCACCAACTCAACAAATAATGTCAAACAAGGGAACACCACTCGCACTTTGGTGGATCGTTCACGATGTGGGCAATGCTGATCTTGTGAGCCAGTAACTAGACTTAGATAGTTGTGGAGCAAGAAGCTTGGAGTTGGGTAGATTAAACCTTAGCTGAAGCTGGGGTATAGGCCAGCTGAGGCTCTACTTAAATACATGTCTTGTATGCTAATAATAGACTACTATCATTCAGTAACCATGCATGAAACAAAGAGAATTGTATGATGTCTGTGTGTCACAGCAACCACACAAAGGTTGAGCATTGACAACGTGTGAACTGTCTGAGCACTTGGATGCACTGATAAGATAAAGACAAGCGCTGAAAAGATAAAAATGAAAAAATCGTAACATTACCCCCTCCTTAAGACTCATTCGTCCCAAATGATCCGTTTGACTCATATTCTTCATTGTCTGCCTCACTCTCATCATCACTAAACCAATTTTCTACAACCTTTTGGAGATTTTCGATATCGGATTCATCCTCAGATGGTGGATCCAGCAGTATTTCTGGTTCCATGAACTGTCGTCCTTCTGCTCTGAAGTCCTTAACCTTCTTTTTATACCATCTGAGGTACGAGTTTCATACTTTGTCATTATCAAACCTTGGGTCTGGTTTGTATGGCTTGTACTTCCACTCTTTGTCATCCTGCAGGTGGTTGTCTTGGAGATATTTTTTGTTTTCCTCCTTGATCGCCTGATCCATGTCTTTGGCTACCTTCTCTATATATCTTTGAAGAGAGGAGCTTGAGGACGCTGGAGTTACTGGTCAGGTTTGTGCTCCATCAATGCTCAAGTGTTGATGACTGGAGTGAAATGCTCACATACAGATACGTTGGACATATTTGATGGTGGTTGTAAGGTTTCCTGATCTGAGCAATATGGGGTTTCGATATCCTCCAGCCATTCTTGGAATCCATTGGGAATGTCATATGGATTAGGAATCTTGTCATCCTTTCCCATGATCCTTCCATCCAGGCCTTTTGTCCACTGAATCTTTTGTATGCATGCCTCATACTCCTTGACTAGGTCTTTGGTGTTAGCGAGATTTGCTCGGGTAACCCATGAGTTTTCTTCTGCTGGATATCCCTTCCATTTGACTAGATAGTCAGTGATGGTCCTTCGAGTCCTTCCTCTTCCAACTACGCAATCTCTTTCTCCTACTATTTCCTCTATCTTGTATTCCTCTTCACCTTCTATGAGGTCAGGTGGTGGTCGACTTGGTTTGGGTTGATTGGGGAATTCTGGAGGGTTATACAGCATTAATAATGCTTTGTTGAACCAATTATGGATCTTCCAGTTGACCGGCAGTTTAAGCTCATAAGCTGAGGCACCTTGTTTTGATATTATCTCAAAAGGTCCTACTTGCTTATCATCCAGCTTTTTCTTTGGTCAAGAGAGGTGGAGGTTGGTGGTGTCCAACCAAACCTTGTTGCCTACTTTATACAACTCCGCTCTTCCCTTGTGTTTGTCGTAAGCCTTCTTCATACTTTCCGCCACTTTCTCCAATGCCTTTGCTGCCTGTCCTTGTGTACATTTCATGTTGTTCACAAACTTCTCTACCACTGGTACTTCTCCTCTGATCTTCTTGGTTATCATCATTTGGCCATCTTGTCCAAAGTTCACTTTATATGGAGAGTATCCTGTGGTGGAATGCTTTCTATTATTGTGAGTGAATGCTGCAAGCAGTAACCACTCTACCCAATCGTCCTGTCAGTAGTTAACGAACATCCTCAGGTACTTGTTGATTTCCTGATTAGCTCGCTCCATCTGTCCATCGGTCTGTGGGTGATACATGGTTGAGGGGTTTCCTCAGATGTTGATGATCATGTAAAACTCTTTTATGAACTTTGAGACAAATACCGTTCCTCTGTCCGAAATGACCTTTGAGGGGATTACCCTGTATCGCACGTATACTTCGTCATGCAATATCTTTGCCCATCCTAGGGGTGACAACTCCTTTGTACATGGCACTGGTATGATTGCCTTGGATAGCCTATCCACAATTACAAGAATTGCATCATATCCTTTGGAATCCGGAAGTCTGGTGATCATGTCCATGGTGATGTGGTCCCAGGGCATCTTTGGGACTTCATTCGAGTGTAGTGGGGTCTTTTTCTATTGGATATTGGTTTTTGTGCATTGACAAGTCTTCCACCCCTTGACGTAGTTCTCTACATCTCTTCTCATTTTTGGCCACCAGTAATCATGGAGAATTAACTCCTTCATCTTCTCAATTCCTGGGTGTCCAGCGGTCTCGTAGTCATGCTTAGTAGCAATAATCTCTCCTTGCAACTCTCAGTTTTTTAGAATGTAGATACGACCGACGTAGTACAACAGGTCATTCTTCTTGCTAATTCCCTTTTCATGATTAAGGGACATCACAATTCCCTGATCCCAATTGCTGGCGACTTTGGTGAACTGCCATACCTTGGCATGAACCTCCTCCTCAGTTGGCATTACCAGAGCACAGAGATATTCTGGCTTTAGTACTACCACGTCCTTGTTGTCCTCTTTTCCCTGTCCATGATCTTCTCTTCGACTCAATAAATCTGCCTTTCAGTTCTGGGCACCTGGCTTGTGGTGCAGTGTGAATTGGTACTCCACCAACTCAGTGACCCATCACGCTTGCCTGTGATTGAGTTTCTGAGGTTTGCGGAAGTATTGAAGATTCGAATGATCTGTCCAGATCTCGAAATCTTCATGTGCTCCCATCAGATAGTGTTGGGATTTGCAACTTCAAGCTTGTACTAGAAGATTCCCAAAGCTTTGGCTTACTCATTTGTCACAATACTTGGATATATTTAGTACTTTAGGTAGAATATTCTAGATACTTTTCATAGTATATAAGGAGCTCATTAGGAGCTCTAGTAGCCAACAATTAGGTATTATTCCTACTGCAAGCCTCCCACTGTCAGAGTGCCAACAGGTAGTGCCACCAGTCTTCTAGGGCAATTATTATTGCCAACAGTTCCTTATCATAAATCTCATAATTCTGCTCCATGTCAGACAGGGATTTCAATAAGAATGCTACTGGTCTCCACTTCCCTTCTTGTTCTTGAGACAATACTGCTCCGACTGCTCCTTCACTAGCATTTGCCTCTACTTGGAATCTTCCTTCATCTAGGGAAATGGCCAGGACTACGTCGCTTTTGAATTGATCTTTGATTGCTTTGAACACATCCTGTTGAGCCTTTTCCCACTTCCATTGGGCCTTTCTGGTCAATTTCATCAGTGGTTTGACTATTTTGCTGTAGTCCCTGATAAATTGTCGATAGAAATTGGTGAACCTTAAGAAAGATTGTAGCTCTCTTTTCTTGGTCGGGGTTGGCCATTCTAGCAACCTGGCGATTTTAACTGGGTCCATGCGAATAGATCCCTCACTGATGAGTACCTCCAAATACTCGGTTTCCTCCACTTCAAATTCGCATTTCTCTGCCTTTAGGAATAGCTTGTTTTCCTGTAGGCACTTAAGGACTTCTCATACCAACCTCCTGTGTTCAGCCTTGTCTTTGGTGGCAATTAAGATATTGTCTAGATATACGGTTACTTTCCTTCCACAATCAAGTCTTTGAAGATGTCATTCATCATCCACTGGAATGTGGCAGGGGAGTTGGTTAATCCGAAGAACATGACAAGAGGCTCATACAGGCCTCAGTTCGTTCTACCTGAGAATGCACCTGGTCAGATGTTCTGGATGTCACTCATGCCCCCACCACCACCACCACCATCAATGAGGATGACAAAGATGAGGATGCCCAGTCCTATCATCCACACTCCCCAACCCCAGAAACCGATTTCTCTATCAGATTCAGTGGAAGGCTTATGGGAGAGCTCAACATGAGATAAAACAGACCTGATAGCATATGGCCAGAACTTAGGCTGGGATCAGCCTACTACAGATCCAGCACTGGGTCCCTCCTCTTCAGGTGTTCCCCCTCCCCTGAAACCCCCATGACCTGTCTCTTCTGCCTTGAAGGCTGGTCAACAGACCTCACATCCACCATTGGCAATGTTGATGAGGCTGAGTATGCAGAGCTGGCATAGGTCAACAGTCCAACCCTCCCCAATACTCTCACTGCGAGCACCAGCAGTCAAGGCTCAATATGGGGAGATGGATATAGGGCCAGTCTGGCCAACAGATGAGAGTACCAGGACAGGTGCTCTCTCAAGGGCCACCATGGCCACCATGGTCACCAATGAGTGGGAGTATGATGAGAAAGAATATGAAGATAATGGAGAAGATGAAGCAATATGGGGCACTGCAGAAATACAACACCTCAACAATCCATTTGAGGTGGCCCTCCAAGATCAGGAGGATTATTTACAGGGGCTCACATTTGAAGCACTCCAGGAGTGATGCCAAGCAGGGCTTTTGGAGGATATCAGATGGTTCAGGACTGATGGAGGAGAAGATTACCGAGATGAGAGAAATGTGAGGAACATAGCAGTAGTGGAGCAGATCCTAATGTGGGACATGCACAGTGAGGCACTGTCATTATGGAACCAACTTCACCCTGCCTGACAAGAACCAACCATCAAGAGATACAAACAGCCAGCACCAATGCTAAAAACTCCATGCAGCAAGGGAAAAGGCAGACTGTTCAGTGGTCAGGGACCAACAGATGCTGGCCCAAGCTAACAAACACCAACAGAGCTGACCAGGTGGCAACCACCAGCATCACCTGTGCCAAAACAGCTGCAGGGACCACCGAGTCAAAATCATTTCTTCCAATCCCTGCCAAGACCCCCAAATCCCTCTGGCCCACCAAGAAAACCACCTGGTGGAGAGCCCTCGAGTTGTTGGGAACCCGACGACAATGATGAAAACAACCCCTGGCAGGGACTCAAACCTGTCATTGTAAAGGAACCAGAACCCTTTGAAGGAGAAGGTGAAGATATTGACAGGTTTTTCAAACACTGCCATGTCTATTTTGAGGTCCACTACAGATACTTCCAGTCAGACCCACACCGCATTGCATTCGCGACAACCAGGTTCAAGGGTGCAGCCTTAAAGTGGTGGAACCTCTAAGAGGAGGAGTTCCTAGATGTCAGGCAGGGACATATGTGCTATCCACGCTATGAGGCCCTCAAGGAGGCGGTGCAAAATCAGCTCTGGAAGGGATACCACTATGAACTGAAATACAAGGAGTAGGAGAAGCTTCACCAGGTGGACTTCAAGTCAGTAGAAGAATTCTTTCAGAAATTTGAGGAGTTGGCACAGGAGGCCAAAGAATTGAGAAAAGAAGACAACATGTACTGAGTGGTGAAAATCATGACCCAAAAAATGGTGCACAACATCATCTACCATAGTCACATGGCACCCCTGCCCACATATGCCAAATGGAGGGCTCAGGTTGAACAAATTGACCTGAACTTCCATATCAACAAGGCCAAACACAGGATGACAGGAGGGAATAAGACCTTGCAGGGCAATCGCTCTGCTGAAGGCAACCAAAACAGTGGGAAGATGACCAGTGGAACACCGGCCAAAAAGGATGGCACCAGAATGACCTATGGTGGGCAGGGTGAGCCCATGGAAATTGACAAGTTGAAGAAGGATGGGCTTTGTTTCCAATGCGGCCATCCCAACCACATGGCTCATGACAACAAATGCCTAAGTGACAAGTTGACCTGGAAGAAGATCAAGAGGCCACCATGTCTGAAGATAGGAGTCACCAAGCTCTGTGCATTACTAGAAGAGGCCAAGAAGGAAGAAGCAGAAGCCAAGAAGGATGATGGGTTGAAGAAGGAAAAGCTACCAGCAGAGGTAGCAAAGGAGGCATTAAAAGACATGCCAGCTTGAGACTAAGTGATTCGCTTAAGTTGGCAAAGGTTTCCAT